AAAAGAGGACCCCAGGAAAATAGGGAAGGAAGGGACAATGGAAGATCGAGTCCTCGAAACTCAGAAGGGACTACGCCCAAGAAAACGAAGGTCTCGGACGCCCGCCGTAAGCTGGCAGAGATAGAAAAGCGAACCGCAGAATATCTGTCTCTTATACACATCTAGATGTGTATAAGAGACAGGGTAAAGGGATGGCGTCGGAAGAAGAGGCTGAGGAACTGCGAAGCAAAGGAAGTCAGGGCACGGGTAGGGGTACGGAATGAAACGAAGCATCAGTAAAGGATCGAGAGTCAGCGAAACCAGAGGGAACCAGGGAAGATGGGAAGGATCTTTCGACAGGCGAAAGATACACATCTAGATGTGTATAAGAGACAGGGCAAACACAAGTTTTTGGTACCCTGGGAACCAAAATGAGCCCGGATGCCTTGGGAAAATTAACGCTTTATTTTCCTTGGGCATGGGGCATGACGTGGGGCTGTGGGGCTAGTAAATTGGCTGTGGCTGCAGTCCGAGAGATAACGGACAGCATGAGGATGCCTGGGCCAAGGGAAAGTGAGTCGCGGCATGTTCAAAAAGCTAGAGAACGGCGTCGCGGGCCTAGGGGAGTGTGACGGTGAGACGGCGACGGCAAGGCGGGGGTCCCGCGGCCGAGAAATTATTGACGATACTTGGGGCACGTGGGAATAATAAAAATGAAGCTGCCGAGGGCACGGGAAGTCCCAAATAAAAATTGGGCATCAACCGGGGTGACGCCGGGGGCCAAGTGGACCCAAATAAAAATTGTCGAAAGTTGGGCTTTGTCGGCCGGGTACCGCCGGCGGCACGAAAAATTGGAACTAGTATGGGCAAATGGCGGGGACTTGAGGTGTCCCACGGAAGAACCACTAGCCGATAAAGGGAGTGGACGTGCAAAGCAAACGGCACCGCCGAGATCGAAGATCTCGACGGTGGAAAATATTAGCACCACTAGTGCAAGCACTAGTGGAGCCCAAACGGGTGAAGAGGAAGCGAAAACAAATAAAAATAAAATAAGGGGAAGGTTGCCCAGCAGTCCGGGGTATTTCAGACAAGCTAGGCATAAGAAAACAAGAGCCCAAGGGGCTCCAAGCAAGAAATAGGCTGACCATGAAAAATCGGAGCCAAAGGGGCTCAAAATGGATGCTAACGGGAGTGAAATGGGCCCCCTTGGGGCATGGGTATGCCAATTTGGTGGGCCGGGGTGTAACGGCCAACAGCCGGCCATGAACCTGGCCACAATCAAAGTTCTAAGGCCTAGAAAGAGAGTGCACAGCAATTTGACACATGTCACAGTAGAAATAAAAGAAAAAGAAAAGAAAAAGGAGAGAAAAAAGAGGGAGAATGAGACAAAATAGGAGAAATGGGTGGAGGAGAATGTGTCGGCCATTGGGATTGCTGCAGTAGGGACTGCCAGGTCCCAATGATGACNGGGTTAGTTGTGGGGCACTAGGACAATGAAAACAGCCCCTACTGCTGTCCAAGTTACAACGGACTGCATAGGGAGGGGCAAACACAAGTTCTTGGGGCCCCGGGAGCCAAAATTGAGCTCGGATGCCTTGGGAAAATTAACGCTTTATTTTCCTTGGGCATGGGGCATGACGTGGGGCTGTGGGGCTAGTAAATTGGTTGTGGCTGCAGTCCGAGATATAACGGACAGCATAAGGATGCCCGGGACAAGGGAAAGTGAGCCGCGGCATGTTCAAAAAGCTAGAGAACGGCGCCGCGGACCTAGGGGAGTGTGACGGTGAGACGACGACGGCAAGGCGGGGGTCCCGCGGCCGGGAAATTATTGACGGCACTTGGGGCAAGTGGGAATAATAAAAATAAAGTTGCCGGGGGCACGAGAAATCCCAAATAAAAATTGGGCATCAACCGGGGTGACGCCGGGGGCCAAGCGGACCCAAATAAAAATTGTCGAAAGTTGGGCTTTGTCGGCGGGGCACCGCCGACGGTACGAAAAATTGGAACTAGTATGGGCAAATGGCGGGGACTTGAGGTGTCCACGGAAGAACCACTAGCCAATAATGGGAGTGGACGTGCAAAGCAAACGGCACCGCCGAGATCGAAGATCTCGACGGTGGAAAATATTAGCACCACTGGTGCAAGCACTAGTGGAGCCCAAACGGGTGAAGAGGAAGCGAAAACAAAGAAAAATAAAATAAGGGGAAGGTTGTCCAACAATCCGCGGTATTTCGGATAAGAAAACAAGAGCCCAAGAGGCCCCAAGCAAGAAATAGGCTAACCATGAAAAATCAGAGCCAAAGGGGCTCAAAATGGAGGCTAACGGGAGTGAAATGGGCCCCCTTGGGGCATGGGCATGCCAATTTGGTGGACCGGGGTGTAACGGCCAACAGCCGGCCATGAACCTGGCCACAATCAAGGTTCTAAGGCCTAGAAAGAGAGTGCACACAATTTGACACATGTCACAGTAGAAATAAAAGAAAAAGAAAAGAGAAAGGAGAGAAAAAGGAGGGAGAATGAGACAAAATAGGAGAAATGGGTGGAGGAGAATGTGTCGGCCATTGGGATTGCTGCAGTAGGGACTGCCAGGTCCCAATGATGACCTCGCTCCTCCTCAATCCAAGGAGAGTAGGCCGGAGTGCTGAGATATGGCCCTTGGGGCTACTGCAGTAGGGACTGCCAGGTCCCAATGATGACCTCGCTCCTCCTCAATCCAATGAGAGTAGGCCGGAATGCTGAGATATGGCCCTTGGGGCCATATCTCAACAAAATCCGAATTAAAGAGGCGAAAAAATTATAGGGGCCAGGGGTTGGGCGGCGTCGTCGCACCCCGAGGATGCCGTAGGAACTATCTTGAACTATTACGCTTAGTGAAAAGGTGTGTGGCCCAATGGATGACGCTTGGCCTGCACACGAAAGAAGACAAGTCTCAATAAACTCCCTGGACTGCCTGCGTATTGGAAGGAGCAATTGCTTGGTCACACTTAAATGAATCGAGGAAACGCCACGAGTGATCAAAGAGTTACCATCTATCGCGAGAGCGGAGCTACATCCCCCAATGTAAAGCCCTCTCGCAAAAGACCCTTCCCCATCCATCTCATAGCACTAGGTGGGGGTGCCCCTGGGACGAACGACCCGCGCCTTGAGCGTGAGCGTGGGCGGGTCGAGCCAAATAGGACCCGCAGTGGGGTCGACTTAGGCTCGAAAGTCCTTCAGGGTACGGCCCCTACAAAAATGGTGGAGGTGCCGGGTATGGGTTAAACTGACCCATACGATCTCGAGGAGGGCGCCCGACGCATGACCGTGTACACAACCAAAGATAAGGAATGAGGACTTGTGTATGCTCTGTTCCCCTGAGTGAATCAGATTTGAGGGCGGTTGGGCGCATGGCAAGGCCAGGCCTGGAGGAATAACATGCATGCTTGCACACTTGATCAGCCATCTCCCTTGGAGGTGACTCTAGTCCTCCTTCTCTCGGGCTGATGTTCGCTAGACCGGGGAAGCCTTGGGCAAGCCGCAGGTCGACCTTTCCTCTTCGTGTGAAAGAAGGGTTCCGGTTACCTGGCAGGCGGTTGGGGTTCCGGGCTAGTCCGGGTTCCGATGAAAATCCCGCGGCGGAGCGATCCGACCGACATGGGTGCTCTCTCTCCTCTTCTTCGGAGCCCAGCGGGCTCCTTGCACTACACTTGAAATGCCTGAAGGAACCTCATATGAACAAAACGGTAATCGAGAAGGAACAATCCTGCCCTATGAACGGACACACAAGCGAAGATACGAAAATGAAGGGAGTTGCTAGACTCCGAAGAAAACTAGCTCACCTTTGAAGATGCTCACGAAAAGGAATTGGGCACTGTGTATGGGGGTTAGGGGGGAGTGGCACGCACTGTCCTGAGAGAAAAATTATGAGCAATGGGTAGAAATCGCTGGGTGCACCAAGGGAAAGGCACTTGTACTATGTGTGTCCCACTTGGGACTTGTGTTTGCATGATGGGGATATTGAGTGTCCTGCCTTTCGGAAGGAAAGGAGGGGTCTGCACCGGCCGGTGCGGGTTGCAAAAACGTCGCTCCCTGTTGTAGGTTGTCGTGGGTTCGTGTGTGGAGGTCAGGCCACCGAGCTGTCGAACGGGAGTTTGTCACGTCGGTTGATTAGTAGCATTCTCGTTCGAGCGGTGATGAGCTTTGCTCGATGACCTGCCGGACGGGGTGTGAAATCTCCTCAAGCGGGGCTTAGCCTGTTGGCTGGTGGAGGGAGTACCACTACATGCGGGCACAGACGGAGCCTCGGGGACGATTAATAGCTTCTCGTAGCTTGGTTTGGGAAAGGCTATTCCTTATCGGACCGATGGAAGTGAATGCCCGAATGGCTGACTTTTGTCCCTGTATTTAGGCACACGGGGTAACCCTCGGTGTCGGTATGGATGAGCAGAAGCGGCAATACTGGATGCGGTATTCTGGGCAAGAAGGTGAGGGTGACCCCCCACTGGAGTCTGGGTACCGCGCTCGCGACGGTTGAGCTGTGCTTGAGGTACGGGATAAAACTCTGCCGATAGTAACAGTGGAGAGACCACTTTTGGGAAAAAGGCCGGTGAGGAGATGACCGGCCTGTGTGCGACGTTTGCATGACTTTTTCTTTTTGTGCCCTCCTCTGTAAAGCTTGCTTGAGAATGTTGGGAAGGGAACTGAGCCTCTAAGTCTATTCTCGCCCCTGCCTAAGTCCGCACGAGTGAGAGAAGATGTGGGTAAGCATGGATAGGAGTCGGAAGGAAATGGAACCAAGAGAAAGGAATGCCGGATGATGGTGACCGATTGGGGGTACGACGGGGCAGTGACATCTGGGAAATGGGAAGGGAAGGTTAGGGAGACCCGGATGAGGGGTCTGAAAACTATTCTCATCTAGACAGGGAGACGGTTTGACCAAGAGGGGCCGTGTAGTGCTCTCTTGTGGAAACAGGACCAGAGCCGGAAAACGGAATGGCGTGGTGGTTCTCATCTCCTACCTATTCTAGTGGTACGGAAATGCCAATAGATGTTAGGGAGGGGGTATCAGTCGTCCTCCCGGAAGAAGGAACGTGGACAGACCTGGAACCAGCCTACGAAACTATGATGCAAGACGAAAAGGACGCGTTCCTCTGGATAGAGACAATCTTGACCACGGTTAGCCTGACGAGACTGTCGCCGATCTTGATGGATTTAGAATTCCGAGAAAAGGTGGAAGCCCGAGGGTGGGTCTACTTATCCCAAGAGATGGAAAATGCAATGGTAATAGAATTAGTGCTGGGAACGGCGCCGGATTCGTTGTTTAGACAAGCGGAACGAGAAGTAGTATGGGCGGCGTGTCAGCGGGCGGAAATGGAAATGGATAAGATGGAGGTGCGAGTAGAGCTCGGGGATAGGGGAAAGGTGAGGTGGCCTCTTAGAACTATGAGGTGCGTGCTACCCCCGTTTCTGGTGGATGCAGTCTTTGGAACCAGGGGCAGATTAGAACAAATATGCCAGTCAATGACACACTTGAGGTTGTACCAGTGTGCTCGGCAGGACTTCTTTAGGCTGTCGGTAGAAATGGGCCTGTTCGGAGGAAACTGGGCGGAGGAATTGGCGGAAGTATTGAACCTCCTCAGCGCGGATGATGTCTTTGTGCCTAGTTCAGTGCATTGGCAGATAATCTATCGAAGTGTGGCAGTAGGGGAGACCTTCCTAGAAGGACTGGAAGAGTTGTTCTTTGATGGGGAGGAGGATTTCAGTGATGATGAGGACGAGGACGAGATGGAAGATTCGGACTTCTGAAAGGGGGGGACTTACCCGAGGAATGGGCTGTTGACTATGTGCAGGTAGGAAACGATGGCCCGGGAACTCCAACTATGGGACTGCACGTTCAAAGGGTGGGAACCAAGGCGAATTAGAGGGGGAGTAGAAATGCCCTTGCCGACGGAATGTGAATGGAGGGGGGCGACATGTGACTGGGTCGGGCTTGAGATCGCAGCAGAGCTATCGTATCTGTGGATATAACGCATCTGGAATCCCATTAGGGAGGAAGATGGATGGGAACATATCGCAAAAGGAAAGGTGGAATCGGTTGGGACGGTTGTCTTGTCGGAACAGGGGTGGCATCTGTTCTGAACCACGCTAGCGGTGGGGCAAAATCCGATGTGGCTTCTGGAGGGAGCAAAGACAAGGACAAGGAAGGCGGGTAAGAGGTTTGCCAATAAGGGATGGGACGAAGTCCACAGCAGGGTCGTAATGGGGGGATGGAAAGAATTCATGCCACCTTGCCTGCGAAAGAGGATCTGGGTCCCCGAGTTCATAGTGGACTGGTTTGGGGGGTTCGACCATGTTGCGGAAGTGGCTGGCACTATGGAACGGATACACATAGACTATACATGGTTGTTGGAGGAATTTTATAAAACATCACTGAAGCACGGGCCTTTCCATGGCGATAGAGCCTGGGAAGTCCTCATCATTTTGAATATGGATAGGTACGACCAACTAGAGGTAACTCCGGAAATAAGGGATGCCATAATCCGCCACGAGGTAGCAGCGGCACCTTGTTATGTGGATGATGTGTTTAAGCTGTTCGAAGTATTGTGGTTCGACTAGGGGCAGGGAAAGCCGCGGGCCAGGCAAGCGTGAAAGATTATTGAGATAAGGGAATGGGGTGTCTGGCCATTGTAGGGTTCGTTGCCAACTACGGAGTGAGGAGACCAAGGACAGGCGAGCGATGGCACGAAGAAGGACGTTTCTTGAGGACCGCCCGCTGGGCATTGAGCCGCCAAGGGAAGTGGCTGGTGGAATAGAAATTAGCCTACCGCCGGCACCCGGTGGTAGACTGGGTTGGGGTGGAGCTCATGGAAAACACGGTTTACTTAGTGACGAGGATTGAGTGGCGCGCGAATGAAAACGGGGAGTGGAACCCCGACCCGCGGGAGCATGTGCGTGCAGAGGGTCGACTGTATATGTCTGAGGACGGGTGGCGAGCGTTCGGAGTTCTGTTGGCATCAGGGGAAGATCCGTTAAGTATGTTCGAGGGAGCATGGCAACTAGTGTGGCAGGCGGGGTTCGAATTCGCAGACCTGGAACTTGATGACGTGACAGCGAACCTTAGGGTAGCCATGGCCGGAAGCTTCGAGCTGCCCAGTGAAAATGTTCGGATGAGATTGCTGCCATTCTTGCTAGAGAGGTTAGGTGGGGTGGAGCTTGTCAGGAGGGTTGTGGCCGACCTCGCCTGCCTGACGTTTGAGGACGCAATGGCTCACCGAGAATATTACCGGACCTTCCTAGAAATGGGGCCGTTCAGCGGGGAGCAGAGGTATGAAGCATTGCGAATCCTGCGTGCCGTATTTACCGCCAGGCCAAGGGCTCCGGTCGTTAGCGACGGGGTTCTATGGGGCGTTGTCCGACGAGAGATAGGCCAGGGAATGACTTACGTAGATGACTTGTACCGTTTGTATGAGCCAACGGGGGTAGGGGCGAATTGATAAAAGAGACAAGGAAAGAGAGGAGATAAAAAGGGGGAAGGGATATCGACTTAAGGACTGGAGAGTTGTTCGGGTAGAGTCGAGGGATGAATGAAATAAGCAAAACTCGCTGGCTGTTTAAATTGTGCAGGGGACCGCTAATCAACAATGGCAATGAGACGCGCCCGGATGTCGCGGCGGCCCACGCACCCCCGGTCGCCCATGAAAAGTGGAGGCGGATGGGAGGTATCGCTCCCAGGCTCCCAGCAAGCTACGTGGTCCGAGGGATTGATACTGAATGGTGAGCTGTGACCTTGGGGAGGGACCAGGCGTTCATGATGGTAGAATGTTTGTGGAATGGTATGAGGATCGATAGGGGGCCAGGGGACGACCTGTATACTGACCTAAAGGTGATCGGGACCGTGTACTTGCCGGAGGTCGGATGGCACATGCTAGGGACGGAATTGGCACTAGGGCATGGGTTGTTGCCGGTTTCCCAAAGGGCTACTAGGATACTGAACCGAGTAGGCCAGGAAGTGCGAGGGAGAAGGAATGTGGGGCTGAGAACCCGAGTGGAGGTAGGAGGTTGGCGAGAGTTTAAGGCACCAATGACAGGACTGCGGTGCCGAGTGCCTCGTTTCATGGTGGACCTGATATTTGGCAGCCTCTCGAGGGCAAGGGATCTGGTGGATTCGACCCTGGTCTGGATCCACCGCTTCCGGCCTCAGACGACGGGAATGTTTTACGATGTGTCGGTCAGGCATGGGCCGTTTTGGGGAAACCAGGCCCAGGAGCTACTTGAACTTATCGAGATTCTGATATTTGAGTTGCCATGTTTAGCATTTGAGGAATATGAACCAATAATCATCAGGGAAATAGAAATGGAAGAAAACTACCTTGCCGGGGTGGCTGACCTGTTCGAGGAACCGGACGAACAAGGCAGGCCTGAGGGACTGGCGTGAGGAAAGGGGCCAGGGAAAAGCAGAAAAAAGGAGGGGCTGGAAAACTAGGATGAGAAGGTAGCCGTCCGCAAGAAGGGGGCGGTGGTCGGAGTTCCGCCGTACCTAAGAATGAGGCAGGAAGGAACTAGGAAGACCACCCACACTGAGGACGCTGGGGTAGGGAGTCGAAAAGGGCTACCACTCGAGAGGAAAGCCGCTATCTTCAGACACCGCCCTAAGAACCGGGGCATGGCAATGACAAGTTGCCAAACCTCGACAGCAAGCCTCCCGGCGGAGGAAAGGAACCAAGCGGCGTCCTGTATGAGGAAGGTCAGGAAGATTGTCCCGAATAATATAAGACGGTGGTGGGGGGGGGGGAACACGGAAATAAGCAGATCTTAGGACCCGGGGATTGGGGAAGCCTTGAACAACCGGCCGTTTTTGCAAAAAACAATTTCCATATGCAGGGTAGGTAAAGGGATGGCGTCGGAAGAAGAGGCTGAGGAACTGCAGAGCAAAGGAAGTCAGGGCACGGGTAGGGGTACGAAACGAAACGAAGCATCAGTAAAGGATCGAGAGTCGGCGAAACCAGAGGGAACCAGGGAAGATGGGAAGGATCTTTCAACAGGCGAAAGTTCGGGGAAAACCGGGGGTAGCAAAAGAGGACCCCAGGAAAATAGGGAAGGAAGGGACAATGGAAGATCGAGTCCTCGAAACTCAGAAGGGACTACGCCCAAGAAAACGAAGGTCTCAGACGCCCGCCGTAAGCTGGCAGAGATAGAAAAGCGAACCGCAGAATATAAAGCGAGGCTTATGGAGGAAATGATGGCTGGGAATGAAAGGGACTCCCTGGGAGAAGGGTCGCGAGAGGAACGTAGGGTTGGCCAGGGCGAAATCCGACACGGAGGGAAGGATAACAACCATAAGGGAACGCCCAACAAGAAAGGGAAGGAAAAGGGGACGCTCCGGCTGTGGAGGCAGAAAAGGCTACGACCCCGCCTGCTATGGACAACGGGGCTAGCCGCCTGCCCGCCACACCGAAAGTAACAAAGGGTTGCGACGGACTTTGGAGTCTCAGAGAAAGGGTGTTAGGATGGATCGATCCTGAGGGTACGCCAAAGGCTGGGGAAAAGCAGGGGGATAGCAAGGAAGGAGAAGGGACCAGTCCGGCTGGTGAAGCAGGTAGCTCTGAGGGAGGTCTTAAGAAAGTAGTAGCTACCCTCACCCGGGCTCTGAATAAGAATTAGGGGTATCTGGCCGATGCCAAGAAGAAACTCACTTTTGATGGGGCGAACATTACGGAGTTCCTGATAGACTATGAGAACCTGGCAGCCTTGTTGAAATGGAGTGAGGAAGAGAAGATGGACCATTTGGGGCAGCATGTGTCACTGAGTCTGGGTAGAGACATTATGGCCATCGTCGCCACTAGTGGATCCTGGAAGGAAACCAGGAACGAGATGATGAGGAAGTACCTAAAGGCGGAGAAGATGGCAACAGAAGCCGAGTTGGCGGCAGTCCAAAGGAAGAACTATGCGACTTACAACGACTTCCTAAGGGCCTTTACTCTAGTCGCGCTACGAATTCCCGGGGTAACAGACCAGATAATGAGTGAGTATTTCCTTAGGCAGTTCTCCGAATTCGACAAAGATAAGATTCTGTCAGCTTACCATCAGACTAGCAAGTTTGAGTACACTAGGGATGTGGACTTCAGCACGGTAACAAACCTCGCAGAAAAGATAGTGGTGACCGATACGCTAGCCCTGCTTAAGGAAGGGGAGGTTATAGACTTAACTGGGAAGACGGGGGATAAGGTCAAGAAGGGGATAGAGAGCCCGCACGAACGATTGCACGGGGTTGACAACAAGATAGAAAGAGTGGAAAATGCGCTATTAGTAATGCAGGCACAGGTGTCCCAACCCGCCCTACCGCCCCAAGAGGCCCTAGTTCCGACAGCGGTAGCGAATCGGGGTTATGGCAGAAGGGATCCGGCCAATGAGCAATGCAAGTATTGCACAATGGTCGGACATTTCGTGCGGACCTGCCCAAGACTCAACCATGATATCATGAGACAGAGATGCAGCAGGTCCCTTAAGGGTGAGATTCTCGGACCCCAGGGAGAGCGCGTAAATTGGAATTCACCAGGAGGGATGCGGCATGCCGTCATCCTCCTGAATAACTTGGATATAGCCGCCGTAGAAGCAAAGCCGGTAGCCAATATTGTCTGGGACCAACCGAGGGGACGTGGACCACAGGCCAATTTCATCCTAGAAGGCAATGGACAGGATAGGGTAAACATCACCACCTGACGGGCCGGTGCGGAAAAGAAGCTTATTCGAGATACACTAATGGAAGAAGTCGGAGGGACTAGTGCAGATCAAGGGGAAACCGAGGCCGAAGAGCCGGAAAAAGTCTACGGAAAAGCCAGGGAGGAGGAGCCGGTAGACAAAGCAGTGGCGGCAAAGAAAAAATTCAGATACCAAATTCCGATCCTGACCGTGCCGGAAGTAGACGGTACACTGAGCAAACTGTTAGGTACCATGGTATCGGTATCCTTTCATACCATGTTACAAGCAAATCCGAGACTGCTTAAAAGTCTCAGGCAATTGCTAACGCACAGACGCGTGGAGGTGGAGGAGGCCCCGAAACCGCAGGAGTAGGAGACGGAAGAGGCAGAGGCACCCCAAGGCGTCTCCAACCTCCAAAGGATTCCTGGGGATCTGGAGGACCTGGAAAAGGCCTTTGCAGACATTCGCCTAAGCCTACCGGACCGAGAAGGGGGTGAAGTCATGAGGGCGCCGCCCGGGATGAAGCTCAGCTTCCATGCATTGCCCGTAGGAAAGCTGAAAGTCCAAATCGGAACCCACCACACGGATGCATTAGTGGACGGCGGTGCGGAAATTACCCTCATACGACGGGACTTTGCAACAATTACCGGCTGCACCGTAAACAAGGAAGTGACGGGGAGTATCCGGGGAGCTGGCGGGGAGATTCCCTTTGAAGGGTACGTTACGAAATGCGCAGTCAGGGCGGGGATCAGGGAATCAATCTGGTCCTTCCAGTGGATGACCGTGATGGAAGAAATGGACCATGACATAATTCTCGGAAGAACGTGGTGCGCCAATGTAAAGATGATAGGTATGCATCTGCATGATGGAACATACATGGTGGATATAGAGGACCCCGTGACCGGCCGCGGAGAACTCCTCCGACTCCTTGGGACCGGAGGGGATCCTCCGAAGTGCAAGTTGGCAACTTGGTCGCCGACGTTCGAGGAGAGTGCGCGAAAGGGGGCATTCGCACGAATGGAAGGTATGAGGGAAAGAGTAGAGATCATGATTGAGGAGGCCTTTAGCACGAAGGAGTGGATCAAGATGGGTCTACCTCTGAAGAAGAGGAGGCAAGAGGACAAGGCCCTGGAAGATATGGTGGCAGAAAGAGAGTCGGAAGTCGAACTTGGGGCCAGCCTGCCCAAACCAAAGGAAGGCCGGAACGAAACGTCGGAGGTGGTGCTTGAAATCCCAGATTTGTTACAACTCGTTAAGGCCATCAAGTACCACAAGGTGGGGTGGACCCCGCAGCGCTTGCTAAATTTGAAGACGGGGTCCGAAAGGGCAACTGTCTGAACTGGAAGCTAGTCAGCATCCAGCCCCACGTCCTAGAGGTAGCAAGGCCGATCCCGACCGTTCATTTTTTAGGAGAGCAATCCCAGAAGGAAGTGTGCGAAAATACAAACCTGTAGGGAAGAAAGCCAAGCCGGTCTCGATCCTAGTCGAAACATCAAGGGAAGAGGCCATGGAAAAGGAGGAAGAAATCCTGCGGATAAGGGAGAGGCGAGCAACAGAAGGGCACCGGATACCTGATGAGATAGCGGATACCATGAAGATAGGGGTAGAAGGGTTTCTAACGGCGGAAGGGACTCAACTGATAAGGAAAGTGTGTCAGGAGTTCCATTTAGCCTTTGCCTTCAATGACCACCAGAAAGGTCGATTAGACGCAAAGTTGATCTCCCCCGTTAGAATCCACACAGTGGAACATGAATGCTGGAACGACAAAGGGCCTGCCTACGAGTTCAGAATAGCGGCGAAAATCACTGGTTGCTTAGAGCCAAGATAGATTCATTCGTGGCCGAACCCACCGCGTCCCCCTACGCCAACAAGTGGTTCGTTTTTCGAAAACCGAACAAGACGCTCAGATGGATCCAAGACTTGCAGAAGTTGAACGCAGTAACAATCCGGGATGCGGAATCGCTTCCACAAGTTGACTTATTGGCAGAGTCTCACGTCGGACGAAGCATTTACTCCCTGATAGACCTGTACTCAGGATACGACCAATTGTCGCTCGATGCGAGAGATAGACCGTACACCGCCATGCACACCCCTGTAGGACAGTTGCAGATGCAAGTGACCCCTATGGGCTTCACAAATGCTGTGGCAGAGGTGCAAAGGAGGATGCTTGCGGTCGCGGGGGACATGTTCCCGGAAAAATGCGAACCCTACATAGATGACAATCCCATAAAAGGTTCGCAGGACAAGGATGAGACAGAGGTTCAAACGGGCATACGAAAATTTGTCTGGGATCATTTACAGGATATCAAGGATCTGCTCCAACGATTCCTGATATATAATATCACCGCAAGCGGACCAAAGAGCATCCTGGCAGTCCCAGAAGTGACTATATTGGGGTTTCGTTGTGGGGCCTATGGAAGGAAACCGGACCCGGCAAAGACGGATAAGATCTCCCAATGGCCGACGCCTTTGCGCACCACGACGGAGGTACGAGCCTTCCTAGGGGTAGTCGGATTCTGGAGGATCTTTATCAAAGGGTTCGCAAAGATAGCAGAACCTATCCGCGCAATGATTAGGGCAGGAGGGACTATGGAATAGACTGAGAATAGGGAGGCGGCAGTCCAGACTCTCAAAGATATCCTGTCTTCCGATCGAGTCACCTTGGCAGCGCCTTGCTTCAATGACGAAGTAGGGCGACCCTTTATCCTAGAAACGGGCGGAGGACCCTTGGCGGTAGGGGGAGTACTGATACAGAGAAGTGAGGAGGGTAAGGAGAGGCCTATCAGGTTTGAGAGCAGGACCCTGAATTCGGCAGAGCGGCGGTACTCACAGTTCAAGAGAGAAGTTTTAGCCATTCTACATTGCCTTAAGACTTTTCAGGCATACCTATTCGGGAGACGGTTTATCCTGAGAATCGATCCGACCAATGTCGCTGGGGCATTAAAGAACTACAAGCCTATAGACCCGACCGTTGGGAGATGGATAGGCTTCATATGGCAATTCGACTACAAGGTCGAGCGAATTGCAGGCCTCCGAAATAGGGCAGACGGACTAAGTCGGGTTTGCATTACGCCGGAAGGGGTAGAGGATGCGGAACCGATCGACGCCTTCCTAGCATACGAAGGGGGGGACCCTTATCGTAGATAACGAGATGGCAGACACCACTCCTACAATGGACGAACTGCTGATTCAGACCCTAGAAAAGGGCGCGCCCGCCATAGTTGCGGAACTCAGGGAAGGACCAGTCATCACGTTTAGACGCAAGGATGAGAAGGATTCATGGGGAGCAACGATGGGCCCAAAGAAAGAGCTGATGGCAATGGCCGTTGAAGGGGGTCGAGATGTTGTGATGAACCTACTAGAAACTTGGACGCGAAGAGAGCGGCAATATCTAGTATATCAGGCTCAGGAAGAGCAAGACACGGATCAGAAGGGACGAGAGTTCCTCCTTATACAGATGTATGATGGCATCTTTAGAGAAATCGGTCTGCTGCTTATAGGAAATAAGCAGCCTATGGAAGTCAGTCTCAAGGCAAGGGAGGAAACCGAGAAGTATGTTTTGAGGAACGGTCACCTGTTCAAGAAAGAAGAAGGAATGATGTCTAGGCGTGTTGTATGTGGAAGGTCAAGGCAGTTGGACATAATCCAGGCGATGCATGATGGGCTAGCCGGAGGGCACCGGTCGTCTAAAGGGACGCTCGCAGAAATCGCGCCCCTTTACTTCTGGCCAGGTATGGCAGGCATGGTGGCTACGTACTGTCAAACGTGTCTGATATGCCAAGAAAGGAGCTCCGCGCGCGTCTTCGAGCCCCTTAGACCCACCCGGGTACTAGGGCCGGGGCACCTGGTCCACCTCGACGTGGCGGTCATGCCTGTATCGACGGATGGATAGAGGTACATCTTGGATGTGAGAGATAACCTCAGCAGCTACGTAGAGGCGGTAGCTCTTAAGAAAAAGACGGGAAAGGGAGTGGCCGATTGGATAGAAGACTTCTACCTTAGGCACCCCTTTGTGAGCAGGTTCATAGCGTACAATGGAATGGAGTTCGTTAACCAGGAGGTGTTGGGCAGGCTTAAGGCGCTATGCGTACCTATCAAGATCATCGAATCATATCACCCTGAGGCCAATGCACCAGGAGAAAGGGGACACCGGACCTTGAAGAACACAATTGCTAAGTTGGCGGCGGATGACCTGGGGAACTGGCCTCGATACCTTAGGCAGGCGGTCTTCTTTGAGAACATGACGCCGAAAAGGACGACGAGATGCATTCCGGCAAAACTCTAGTATGGGAGGGAGATCGATTTCCCGGTGGAAGCCCTGGTTCCTACCTGGAACAGGCTAGATGACAATCCACATATGTCTACGGAAGAACTAATTGTCGCACGTTGCCAACAGGTCGTGAGAAATGAGGAAGCCTTGGAGGATGTGGTCAGGCGGGTGATGGATAGTCGAATGAGGGACAAAGCAAGGTGGGATCAGGTAAAGAACATCCGCAAGGAGCCGCTCCAGGTGGGAGAGAAGGTACTAGTTAGGAACTCGGCTCTTAAAAGCACGTGGTCTGCGCAGCTGGGAAGAAGGTTCAAAGGTCCCTACAAAATCGCTAAGAGGATGGGGCTGAACACGTTTGAGCTTGAGGATCTCAATGGTACTCGGATGAAAGGGCCATTTCCGGGGCAGAGGCTGGTCAGGTTTTTTAGCAGAGCAATGGTTACAGGAGGCTCAGGATAAGGAAACGGAGGAATTGACAACCTGAAAGGCAGGCAGCTGGCTATAATTCTACACCGCCTCCCTGCGAAAGTGATCATGACTGCAAGGGTTGTTCGTTATGTGCATTCTTTCCTGTGGAACATGGGGTGACTGCCTATGCGGAGTATGGACGAAGTTGGGAGTCTGGGACAATGTACCATAATTTTTGTGGGGCAATTCTGGGGACTGTCTACATGGGGTACCTGTGTGCTGGGACAATGTTCCATAATCCTTATGGGGCAATTCTGGGGACTGTCTACATGGGGTTCCTACGTGTCGGGACAATGTGCCAAGGGTTCTGAGGGATAATGGGACTACCAATTATATGGGGGCAAGCAAGGGTTCTGGGGAAGCCTGCAATTCTGCAAGTGGGAGTGGAGGGGAGTGTGTGTGCGTAGGGGGGGATGCCGTGACTGTTGTGTGTGGACAGGACCAGGGAAAAAGAAAACAGCAAGAAAGAATAAAGATGGAGTTTGGAAATGAGAATGACAGCAACACCATCAATCGGCCTATGTGGGATTTGACCACATTTTGGTTGTGAACAGAGGGGGAAGAAAGCAAGGGACCAGGGGACCGTCGCCCCTGAGAGAGGGGGAGTCGATAGTTCTCCCATTTGACAGTGACACTAGTAGTGAGGAGGAGGGGAGCCTAGGGAAAAGGCAAAGAATGGAAGAGGAAGAACCCAAAGAGGTCATAGACCTCAGCAATGAGGAAGAGGAGGACGAAGTCACGACGCCCACGAGAGAAGTAAGGGGAAGGGATGAGGACCCAGGCGAGGAGAAGGACAAGTGGATAAGAGAATTTGGGTCGTCTTTCAGTGACTGGTTCGATCAATGGGTCAGTATCATGAGGTATGAATGGGCGATGAAAGGGAAGGAAAAACTAAGCAGAGGAGAGGACATAGCGCCAACAACATTTTTCACAGAAGAGGAGCTCCTACAGATGCAAAGGACAAAGAGAAAGATGCATCAGGAGATCGACAATCGTGCAAGGGAGGCTCGACCTAGGGCAACTGGGCAATAAAGGGGTAGTAGACATAACAGGGAATATTTAGAAAATGGGCAGGGCTGGAACCTGGGCAGGCAGAACTGTCATTCTGAATCTTGCATTTGAACTTTCTGAGAATGGACTACAATGGGACAACTTTCTGTTTAGAATGACCTAAGACTGGGTAACTAGTGCTACCTTCCATAAGTAGTTGCTTCTTCAGAAGGACATGTGGGTCGATGAGCTTGGGACTAGGACTATGAAGCACTGGGTTTGAAAGTGAAGGGAAGAAAGGGGAGGGCCTAGATGAGACAAGTCTGTAATGTTGCTTTCGCATTCAAATTTGTCTTTTCTTTTTGAGAAAACCGCGACGGAACTGCTTTTTGAACTGGCAAGGTAAACAGGGACTAGGTAGCCAGTGCTACTTTGCATAACTACTTGCTCCTTTGGAAATACGGGGATCCTTGATGGTGAGAGATGAACTGGGAATGGTTCACTCTGTTTCGGAAAAAGCCCAAGAGCGTGTGGATTATCGAGATGGAAGAAAAATCTATGACAGAGAGTTTTCTTTTGAAAATTGTGCAACCCTGGTTGAATGAGTTATGGTACGAGTCGCTGTGAGAGGTTAGGGGACCTATGGGTAAAGAGGTATGAAGAACCCTCTTCCCTAGGAGCCTAATCCAACCTATCCCGGATAAGTCCAGAGCAGTAAAAGGCATGAGAGGTCAGAGAGAGGAAAACATTGGTTGAGCAAGCATTCTCCGCAATGGTTGAACGACCGGGCGGGCTAGTACTGCTTGGGGTCGTGAGCCTCAAATTGAGCACTAGACGCTAAGTCGGGTGTATGAATGGACATGAGAATGATGAATGGCACGACACGAAAGGCAAAGGCATGCGTAAAACACAAGAGATGGCCACCTTCTAACCTCCGAGACAGAGATAGGATCCGTGTCCTCGAGGCCCACCCCCTCGGGCGCTAACATTGGAAATGGATAAGGATGACCCTAACTAGGTTGTCCGATGGAAATAGATAAGAATGGCTCTAACCAGGCTGTTCGACTTGGAATTCGAAAGAACGACCCTAACCAGGTTAATCGGAATGACCCCTGACAAGGGTCGTTCTTTGGAATTGGCACTGGGGTCCCCTTGCATGGCTGGCTAAGATGCATGAAATTGGGAAGAGTTGAGCCTTGGAAGAGATATTGGACTCCGCCTTGGAAAAGATCTTGGATTCAATCTTGGAAAAGATATTGGACTCAGCCTTGGAAAAGATATTGGATTCAGCCTTGGAAAAGATATTGGACTCAGCCTTGGAAAAGATATTGGAATGGGATTGAGCTTTGGAATGGGATTGAGCATTGGAATGAGATTGAGTATTGGAATTGGATTGAGTGCTGAAAATTGCATTGCATAAACAGGGGATCCTAGCCAACTTGAAATGGACATGGAAATAACCTTGAAATGGATTTCTCCTTTCTTCTAGTCCTTGGCCTCAGCAAGAGGGGGACACCGGTGCTTGCACCGCGACCCCAAGACCTCTATTCCTTGAAGGAAAAAGTCTCAGCGCGACCTGTTCCCCTTCCAAGGGAATGAAGGTTAAAGGACCAATGCACCTACCACTTGGATCGGTGCTGCCAGTCCGGAACCAACTCCGACAATGAGCTCTAGTCGGGGAGTTCAAACTGCGCCTCCTATTGAACGCCTAAACGTCAAAGGGTGAGAGAAACAAATGGGCGAGAGAGTCATTCTCATCTAGTCTATTTCGCTACTCTCCAACCACACGCCATATCATAGAGAGGTGCCATGGTCGTTTGGGTCGGACCTAGGCTGCCCGCACTAAGTTGGGTGGCACTGTCCAAGGGGAGAGGCTGGCGAGGTACCGGGTGGAGTCCGCCACCACCACAGGGCATTGACACTGCCCTGCCGGAACATTTCAACCGTTTCGGGTATATTGCGAGGTCCTCGTAACTGCACTCGCGGACTAGTTGAGAGCCCCAACTCTATTGAAAGGAAGAGGCCGTATCCAAAAAATTACCACGCGGGAGGAACGATTCGCGAGGAACGCTTTTACGGCTAGACGAGGCCCTGGAAGGCTTGGACTGGATCTGCCTGCCAGGTGTGAGGAGGAACCTCAATACTGGCGCTCGCCACGTAAGAGAAAAAAGGTCGGACCGAGTAGGAGGATGAGGCGCCACCCGCTGGGAAGGAACTAATCATTCTTCCTTTTGTGAAGCGGATGGGCTTGTGTGCTTGACTGCGGTTGGTGAGCCAAAGGTTTGCGTACCTCCGAGTGAGAACCAGTCGCGCGATGGGGACATCGCGTTTTGAGTGGGGGGAAGGTGTGCCATCTACCAATGAAAACACATGCAAAAGACTTGTGTAATTGAGTTTGCGTGGGCCTCAGAAAAGGGGGCCTGGCAAGATGCCCAGAACAGAAAAGACTTGTGTAATTGGCTTGCAAGGGCCTGAGAAAAAAGGGTCTGGCAAGATGCCCAGAACAAAAAAGAATTGTGTAATTGAAGTTGTCTATCTGAGTTTATTTATTTTGGACTGTGCACTTAAATTCATCCGTCCGAGCTAAGCAAACTTCACTATTCATTTGTATTTTGATCTCGTTTGTTTGAATTGCTCTCCTTATAATGGATAGAGAAGCTACGCAGAATCCACGTCCGACGCGGGTTCGGGGGTGAATGGAATGACCGACTCCTAGGGAGAAGAAATTCTCTCAAGAGGTGGTCAATGTGTAAATTCTATCCTTGGGGGGAGTTACAATCCAAAGTTATCCTTTCCCTAAACAGATGGCTTGAAGGAGCTATAAATCCGTCTTCTAAGGTAGTAGTGAGACCCGCGCCGGAAATATGTTCCTGGTCCATAATGGGGTGTTGTCACCTGACCCTTTGGGAAAATGGTGACTACATTACTACTGAGAAGGAGGAAAGTGTTTGAACCTTGTTAGATTATGGTCTATAATGGAGGCAACTACTGCATGCCGCAAGGAGGTAGGGGGTGATTCCCCAACTATCTTTGTATCAAGTGGGTTCATCATCACGAGAAGGGATAGGCCATCCTGGAAACGTGTGCGGTGAGGTTGTCTACTAATTGACCAGAGTTTGTAAGAAACAGATACTGGAATCGGAGGGTGAAGCAGTGAGGCTTGGTCCTTGAGCGGGGCTCGGGAGCCTAAGATGTTATCCCTTTTGGGGGATTAACACTGCCCCTTGACACAATATACTCCTGTCAGAGCCCAGGGAGTAGAATATAGTACTCTCATCCAAAAACATCTATTATTAAAAACCTTGTTAACTACAGCATGACTATTGCCTATGATCACCGTAAGTTTTCCATCATTACCAATGCATGCATATACTTATTAAGCTTGTCTCTTTGCTGCTAAAACTACTTACATACTCTACTATTATAACTAATGCAGTACTATCGCAATGTACTATTATGACTTGCTTGAATGATCTTAGGCGTTGAAAGTTAGCAATGATAGTAAGGTATGAAAATGGGCCGGGCAAGACGTCCGGAAAAGAAAAGACTCGTATGATGGACTTTGCATGGATTTGAAGGAAAAAAGCGGGCAGGCTGGGAAACGGATCAGTAATTGGTTTGCATGAGCCTGAGAAAAAGGTCTGACAAGGTGTCTGAAAAAGAGAAGCACAAGGGATAAATTGGGCAGCGTGCATGAAAAGTTAAAAATAAGCAAGGAACAAGAAAGGACAAAGAGTGATACGAATGCAAAACTGGCAGGACCTGAGGGAAGTCGGGCGAAAGGACCCGAGAGAGATGCATGTGGATTTGGCAAAGCCTGAGCATCGGAGAAGGGTGAAGGGAAAACATGGATTGCACGGGCCGAAAAGTAGATTATTTTCTGTTATAAGAATAATGAATGAGACGAAACCAAAATGGTTTCTGCTCGAGAATGTTTTCTCAATAAAATGGGAAGATAGATTTGAGATTACAAAGCACTAAGGGGGAGTTGTGCCTGTGTTCATTGATTCGAAGTGGGTATCACCACAGCAAAGGCGGCGGATTGCATTGGACGAACATCCCCCTTCCGGAGCAAATGCCTGACATTGAGTCACATCCGAAAACTTGCCTACAATTTGTTATCAACGATGCCAAGGCATATAATGAGAAAACCAATTGTGTTATGACAACAATATGTCATCCTCGGAATAAAGCCAGCATGCCAGTAGTTAAGTGCACCATCTCCGATCTTGACGGCCAAACATATTAGCACCACTAGTGCAAGCACTAGTGAGACCAAGGAGGAAGGCCAAAAGCAAAATAAAAATTAAAGAAAACAAGTGCTAGAGGCATGGGAGCAATCTGAAAAATATCAGATTGGCCTCCCCCAAGAAAATGGGGCCAAAAGAGTCAATGTGAGAAAAACGGGCCCCCGGGAGAAAATCGGTGCATAGGGGCCTACCGTTTTGGAGGGGGAGAGGCAAACGGTGGCTCCCAAGGGCATGGAAGGGCCACAACTGCAGTCCGAGAAATAACGGACTGGCCCTTGGGCATAAAAAGGGCCAAAACTAAGAGGAAGAGGCAAAAAAAGGGCCGAGAAAAGGGCCTTAACGGCTAGTTGACACTTGGCATGCTAAAAAAAAAAGAAAAGGAAAATGGGTGAGTGAGTTGGCCGTCAGTTGGGACTGCGGCAAGTAGGGACTGCCAAGTCCCAACTGTCCACAAGTGGAGGGAAAATAAAAGAAAAAGAAAAGAAAAAGAAAAAGTAAAARGGGGAAAGTCAAAARGGCRCTAACRGACGAAAACGGCCACCTAGGGRGGGCATTTTGRACCAGATTCATTTGGGCATATGGCGGTTACCAAGGACTTTGATTTTCTTTGATTTATGCAGAGAAAATCAAAGAAAATCAAGGCCCCTTGCAACCGAAAAATAACGGATTGCATGGGAGAGGCCAAACACATGTTTTAGGTGCACCAGGAGCCAAAATGGAGACCGGATGCACTTGGGACATGACCGTTTTATTTTCTTTCAGTTGGGGGGTTAGTTGTGGGGCACTAGGACAATGAAAACAGCCCCTACTGCTGTCCAAGTTACAACGG